TCATCTCCTTGTTCTAATGATTCACACTTATGTTTACACTCCTCAGAATGAGGATGGGGGTCATAAGATTTTAAAATTAAATTATCAGTTCACTCACAGTGCTGTGTCTAGCTGTGTGGTTCAAATTTACACACTGCAGAAGGTGACGAGCGCAGTTTGTTGAGGTGCTCGTCTGCATCATGTTGCAGAAGCCATTGTTCCTCATGTGAGATCCTGGTGAGGTCCAACTCTGCTGAGAAAAAAAACCCCCAAAAAAAGTAAACACAGTGGGTAGCTCAAGGCAAGTGAGCAACAATCAATCTGCCTTTGGTGTTGCATTGGTTGGTTTCACAGACATGGATTAGATGAGCTTGGTCCAACACTGACGCAGGCTTTCAGCAGAAAAAGGATTTAAGTCGAGCACGTCTGGGAAACTGGTCCCTGAAGTATTTGGAGAAACTCTGAGTGCATCATTTGAAACAAATGATTCCTCCCATGCTTGCCATGCTCGAGCGTTACTGTGGTGTTTGTTTCACATCAGTGTTCTACAAATGCATATTTTTTAGGGTGATAAACATTTTAAATCTTTCCGGACAAATCCATTCGATGTTGCCTGTGTTGACAGTCCTGAGCGTCTGTTGTTTTTAAAGCAGGGAAGGTTAATTACACTTTAAATTTCTCTTTATCATGCTAGAAAAAAACTGATTTCCAGGAAATTGATGAGCTCTGCCAAATGGAAATGATACACACGATCCAGCAAATAGCACTGTAATATTTCTCAGACATAACTGATGAACTGTAGATGAATCGTATGGTTATTAAAACAAATTTGCAGAGTGAGCGAGTCCATAGGAGCTTTGCCGCCCTCTCCGCTGTATGATCCATCAGATGCAGGGTGGTCGTGGTGCATATGAAGTGCATTGCTATCTCTGTATCTAGGCCTCACATGTTTGCTGCACCGTCTGGAGTCCCTCCTGAAAGTGAAAGTGTGTCATCTAATGTATGCAGCCAACAGCCACTGCTCCTGTGCTGTTCTGGGTATTGGGGATTACATAAACCGAAGCAACATGGAGTGTGGAAATCTCGTCTTATAGTTGAGTGTGCGTGTGAGGTTTCCTCTCACTCCCTGACAACTGGAGCCGGAGCATCTCCAAAGACTTGCACCGTGGGGAGTCTTGTTTTGCATTATCATTAAAGACACATATGGGCTGTGAGAGGCTGGAGCAGCATGTATGCCACACCGGATGGAAAACTGGGTCTATGCGTCACATGCAGAGCAGAATCAAAGATGGCGTTTCTGTGGACGCGTTCAAGATATTTCATAGCCCTAGTTTCAGAGGGATGCAGCCAGAAGATAAGGATGAGGCGGCTCTAGAGACAGCATCCTCACCGCCTTCTGTATTACTGCTCCTCACTTTCCTAGGAAGCTGCTGAGTGGTGTCTAGGCAGTGTTTGTCAGAATGTAAAGATTTTTCGGCAAGTTTTCCATCGGAGCATGTCATCCTGAGCAAGACAGAAGCTTGCTTGTCTCATGTGGTGACTTCAGCGGGGCACAGATATTCCTTTTATTTTTAGCAGTGTGGCACATGCTGGAAGTTTGCCTTTTCTAGTTCTTTCAGCATGTTATATAAAGATAGCAAAATCCATACACTCACAACATAATTATTTTCCTGGCTTTGATTTAAAGACACAGTCCACACCTTGTGTCCTATGGAACAAACAGCAGTGCATCATCAGTCAGTGAGGGAGTGTGCAGAGCAGAGCGTCAACACCATGGGAGACGGAGCGACTTCTCACAGGGAGGACATTTCACTCTGCAGTCGGGAATCAAACCAATCAGATCTGGTGGGAAGATCTTTCTTTTTCTTTACATATTTCCCTTCAAGTGTCTTGATTCATGTCTCCACAGTAAATGTGGATGATTATATTTTCATGGAGTCACAGGTGGTGTAGAGTGCCAAGTCTGCTGTGTTTCCAAAGTTGATGCACATTTTAAAAGAAATAAAACTGAATTTAAAAAAAAAAGGAAAATAATGAGAAAGCCCAGACAACATTCAACATTACTTATGTGTTTACTTATTTTGATCCACAATTAAAGAAGTACATTGACATCACATATGGTCCTTTTATTGGATCCAAAAAAATACAAAAATAATGTAAATCAGATCCTTCACTTTCCAAATAACAATAAGGCCACTGGAGTTATTAACAGCATCGATACACCGGACATGGTGTTGAATTCCAGCATCATTATTTGTGCATTTTTACCACTTACACAATTTCAAAACCATCACCACTGGGCCACCATTCTTGTTGTGTGACAGTACAATCAGTCACTCTACTAGTTCAAGTGCTCGCGCAGATCCCTGGAATTTCACCACCGTTTTACAACAAAAGATTGGTTGACATAAAATCCCTATATGACCTGCCAGAGAGATACGAGCGCCGAATACCAATTTTACTGCAGCTGTGTGTACAATATCAAATTAGCATACAATAAAATGCCTCCTCCCGTATGTAGGACATGTCTGGAATAACAGATGGCCACGCGGAACAATAAAGAACCCCTTTTTAAATAATGGGATCGAATATTTATACTGTGCTCACAGGGTAAAGACACAAGCTGAAGAAGATGGAAAAGCTGTCACTTCCTAAGTGTTCAATACATAAAGCATGAGCGCTGTATTAAAAGAGCTATTTCACTTGGTCCTGGTGAAACTGATCTCTCCGCATGACACTGACTGAAGCAGCTTTCCCCACAGTCTTAAAACAAGGAAAGCTAAGCTACGCAGAGAGAGAGAGAGAGAGCGAGAGAGAGATTGCTAGGGACCATGCACAGCTTGGAAATGGTTTCAAACAACCGGTTATTAAGACTTTCCCTCGGCATATGGTGCTCTCCTATTAAGACCGAGATCAAGCACTGCCACCACACACAGTCAGGCCCTTTTTAGCCTCATCCACAGTCCTGAAACTGATGCTTCTTCCCCTCCCTTTGTGGAGCTGACCATAATCTTCCTACTGGACATTTGGTCCATTCCATTTATTACCAAGCGTTGCCTCCAAAATCATAAACCATTTATGATGCCAGCAAAAGCCTGAACCATGGACCACTTTGGAACTTATTCTCTGCCCTCATCCTACTCAGTGCATTTACTTCATGATACTCTCACACTGCAATAAAAAGTCAGAGTGGTAAGTAATGCACATTTTGTACTGTCCCTTTAGACTTGTTAGTGTTAACGTGTAATTGCAACAACTCACCATACACTTACTACTACATACTACAATAATATGTGAGTGTACATTCATTGTACTTAGGGATTCTTATCTACTCCACTCCCAGTTGCAGTACTGGGAAAATCGTCTTTTTCCCATCTCCCATTCATCTTATGGTGAGCGTGCATTCTGAATCAATAGTAAAAAAATCTATTTCAGTACGATCATCCCGTAACATCATTTCCAAACAGAGGTCCTCTGAGACTGATGAGCCAACATCCTCTGAAGGTTAATGGTAAGGAAGAGGTCACAAATTGCTTCATTCAGCCTCCTCCATTATCTGCGTCTGCTGTCAAAAACTGTACACTTGATGACTTCCGTTCATAAATCAAACCTCAAGCTCGCGAGTATACAAGTGCTCCCCCTCGCTCTCTCCGTCTCTCTCTGAGGAGGATTCGGCTGGCAGGAGTCCAAAAGATAAGTCCTGCACTGCACACCTCCGACAGGGAGAGGGAGAGGTGGTGATAAAGAATTGGGAGAGGACCAGAAAATCAATCAGAATGCCATCTGCCATCCCAGCACCCTGGAGACACCGCCGACAACCGTCTACTCCTCCGCTGTGTTTCCCTTATTCCCTCTGCACGGCCTGTGGGACAGTTGCAGAAGTGGCCGCAGCTTTGAACCGAGGGATCTATAGATGTCTTAATTCTGATGAATGGCAACAGAGTCAGTAAGCACGAATCAGCACCAGAGCAATATGCATTTGCTCAAGGGAATGCCTTGAGTACATGCAGTCACAACTTTAACTACTGCGCTCTTTGTCTCATCGTGTGACATCAGAATACATTCAGCTCAAGAGCTATTAAACTAGAGGGATGTCTTAAAATTGAATTATAAGCTTTTTACATCAGGCACTTGCAATGAGTTTCAAGTGGACAAGAAAGATGAGGATGAACAGCATCTGCACTCAGCAGCATTAAATGAAAATATTCCCACATATCCATCACAAAAAAATTGAGAAATGTTTCAAAAGTTTCACCTGAAAAATACATTATTTAAAACTTAGTTGATACAACATAAATTCAATTCCTAAAATATGGCTATGGATTTTGAAGCTGCAGAAGCAAGAACACTGTCTTTACAAAAAAAGATTAAAAAAGTCTGCCCAATGACCCATGTCATTTTTCCCTCAGTACAATTTGCATTTCAAGAATACCTCAGCAGAAGCAGAGAAGAGGAAGAATTGAGTTTCTCCTGTTATCAGTAGTAGGTGTTAAGTGTAAGAGTTTAAGTTCTTGCATAATGCCTTCGATCGGAGGCTTCTACGCCACCTGTATGTAACAGTGGCAAGCACTCAAAATGTCCTGAAAAGGTTCTTAAAATACCTGAAGATTTGTCCCACTTTTCTCTTGACAAATAGAAAGGACAGGAGGGAGAGAGGAAAGTGCAGCAAAGTGCATTGGCCCCCTCTAGAGGAGAAGATGCCTCAGGATGCAGACTCTGATCATCACTGTAATGCCAGCCACTAACTCATGGGTGTGAGGACAGAGGTATTAAGCAGTTTTTTTTTTCTTTCAGATGGAAGCACAGTGTTTGTCCATGTCTGCTAAATTAATGTCATTCTTTAAGATTTCACCAGCAGCAGTGGTGTCATTGTGTTGCACAGCTTATCACCGATTCTCAATCATCCCATTGATTAAAAAAACAAATCGTATTCCAGTAGGCTCCTGTCTCCCAGCAACAGCTTCCAAGAAAATACTCCCATATATATATGTGTATATATATATATATATATATATTAACAAAGTGCTTCAGAAGGAAAGTACTTAATCTAATTTTCCATCGACCAATTCAATCCAGCCAGCAGAAAAATGTGCAAAGGTTGATGTTTGAAGGAAGATCATACGCTTCCTCCTTTGGCCTCCTTTCAGGGCAAGGCACACATATGAGGAACACGTTCATTAATTCCCTCCACCGATATCCCTCCTCAGGATATTGGCCCTGTATGGCAACGTTTGTTCTTTCGATTCAGGGTCGATGCCGTTACGTTACATTTTCTCCTCAAAGAACCACTGCTGGTGGGGGCTGCCTGAGCAGGGCTGCAGCGAGGGGGCCGGTGTCCCGTTGTCCGTCTTGTCTACCGCCTGCACACACTTCTGGCTCGCCACGTGGTGCAGACTTCCATCCTGAAGACAAGCAAATGGTGGAGAATATGAAGAAGTGTAATATTATAGCACTAAAACAAAATAATTACTTTCTGCTTGATCACTCAAATGGTAAAGTAGATTAGAAATATTGGAACTTATCATCGACGCCTTTTCGTCCTGACATATTTGATTTCTTTTTAAAATTTTTGCCCCGATCAAATCTTCCCATGTATTCATCCGCTTTTCGTTTGTTGGCTTAACTCTTTCTTCTCCCTCCCTTTATTGTTCCCTTCTCTCCTCACTCTTCTGCCTCGGTGTTACATCCGATCAGTCTTTCCTGACTCCATTTCCATTTAGATGGTGTTTTAGCTTCCGACGATGGTTTTGTGTAACTACACCGAATACATGCTAAACAACTTCCCCACACTGTGTGGTGATGCCCAGCATGCCATTGCTGTGTGATTTACAGTTTAGTATCACCCGCGTTGGCACGCAACATCTGTGGAGCTGTGCAGGGACGTGTTCGACGTGACTGAGGAATGAATTTGATTTTGGGCCTTTCAGGGACAAAGTGAGTCAGTTCTCTCAGTTTAAACACAGGAATAAAGCATATAAGATTTCTATTGTTAAAAAATATATTGTACATTAAATAAATCTTCTGATTGTACAGTGTTTTCTAATCAATAATACATACAGTGTAAAATATATATTGCCAAAAATCTATTTTTGTTTTTTAGAGGATTTGTAAGAACAAGAGAAGTCAGAACGATGACGAGTTTGGCGATGATGGGATGGTGTGGATGCGGAGAACGAGGGAGTCAGTGTTTGTGAGTTTTAATTCTCTCTGTGAGTTTAGTTTAAATTCATGAAGGAAAATAATAAATATTTTGAAAATTCAAGACAAAACCAAATAGCACCTTGCCCCTAGTGTTCAAAACACAGAAATGCATTTCTTTTCTTACGGATGGATAGGGACGCCACTGCAGCCATGGGAGACATTTTTTGTCAGGAGACATTAAACACAGATCCCCACAGGAACATCTCTTTCACTGACAGAAAGTGTCTCAAAACCTAATTCCATCCTCCACCGTTCTACATCCTCTCTTCCTACTCTGAATATAAAAGTGTAGTTAGAAACACAGAATGATGAACAGATAAAACACTCATTACCTCTCGGAGGACAAATTTCTGATCTACAGGAAGCGGTTGGCCTCGTTTTCTGCACCGCTGGAGAGTCAGGTAGGTGCTGATGTTGTCACCCATGACACATCCAGCAGGCTCCCTGGTGTTGTAGCGGATCTCGCCATCTGAGGACAATTCAAAGAACTGTGGGAAGAGAGGAGACAGCTGGGTTTTAGTCTAAAATGAGATGGTGTAATATCGTTTAAAAGACAAATGGAAACATTTTATTCATTTTCTTTTCATGACAGTTTTAAATCTCACTTGAAATTAGAAGAATCTAAGACGGAGCACTCTTCCCTCCTCACAGGATAGTTGGTTCAAGGAGGAAGCCCTTTCTTGATTGTCTGAATAAGGGTAAACAACTTGACAATGCGCCCCCACCTCCCTGTTTTCCGTTCCGTCTCACTAGTGTCTGAAGAATGTATTTATTGTCCTCTCAATTGATATCCTCCACCTCCCAGAGCCAGCAGGTCAGAGTGGAGGGAAGTGAGGGTTGGCTCACGTTGTTCTTATCGTTAATACGTCTCATCTGTCAAATTAGAAACCCTTTTGATCCTGACATCTTATAGGAATCATTGTTTATCATCTGTGACACTTAATCAATAATAAGGTTAAAATAAAGAAATATGTTTTATGCATGTGACTCAAGAGACATGATTTTCTTCACTCCAACTGATGAAAACAAGTTGCATTACATTTTTGCAATGTCAGTTAATAGGATCTTAACACACCTGTTATGTGTATTTATATATTTATTTATACATATATATATATATATATGAAAAGTGTCGACCAAGTGTGATTCCATTACATGCAGAGCTTGCCCTCATGAGGCAGACAGCACAAGCCCTGCAGAGCCTGCTTGCTTCAGACAACATCAGTGTGTGTCCACAGAGGGCTGCTGGAATAACAATGGAAAAATTCACAGTGTTTCCTACACTCCTGCCAACCACAGAGGATAAAGGTGTTGGGAGCTACATTTTTCATGATATCAACAAGGCCAACACATCATTTTTCAGCTTGGGACAGGAGGAGCTACTCCAGGAGGAGCTACTCCACTATACCCAGCTACAAACACTTGATGTGCTGTGAAAAAAGAGGGTTGTATCTCTGCTTTGAGAGAGTCTGAGCAGACATTTATGACCGTGATTACTGCTTTCTTGGGCAAATAGAAAAATAGGGAGGAAGAAAATGACAAGAGAGAAACAAATAAAGAGCGCAAGTTTAAAAGAAAGCTAAGGAGGAGGAAGTGGAGGGTATGAATCAGAATGAGGCTCGTGACTGGTCCTGGTGACTCTTGAAGATCAATATCTTTTTTGGGTGAATTAATTAATCAAATCCCAATCACTAAAGGAATTCATATGAAACTGAATTGAAATCTGTATAAATATGATATCATATAAGAAAAAAAACAAAAGTTTAATGGCACTCTTAAACCATTAAAAGTGTTGAAGTTCATTATATTGGGTGTTTAGCCATAGACGGGTAAGTGCATTGTTTTCTAGTTTACATAAAAACAACAGCAACCAAATACGAAATGTAGTTAAAACATTTCATGCTGATTACAACAGACTGAAGTGATTTCTGGAGGCTGCAGAGATTGTGTGGTCCGCAGACTAACATGCAGTACCTGGTTCTGACCCATGCCGTGACACGAGTACAGGATGACTCTCTGGCCCACCACGACGTGTTCATCTACAGGATTGTAGTCAAAGCAGTAGTTGGCCTTGCCGCGGTTTTTAAGCTGCAAAGAAAGACAGCAGTTATATGGATATGTATTTCTGACATACAGCTTACATGGGGCTTATACAGGGCTGAGCTGGAGAGGACATATCACATTTTTAATGCTTTTTATGCTTTTTTGTTTTATGATCTGAAACGCTCAGCTGTATTGAATGCAATCGAAGATGTCATAGTTGGTAAATTCGTTCTTTAAATGAAGCCTGGCGATCGCTGTGTTCTCACCATTCCAAACATGCCTGGTCGATCCTCTGGGATGTTAATATCGGAATAAATGTTATCCAGATACCACCTGAAGTTCTTACAGCCAAGCTTCTCTCTGAGCTTCCGCCGCTCGGTCACATCTCCAAAAGCCTCCTAGACACAAAGAAACAACAGAAGATAGTTCTGCATCATTATTGTAATTCAACAATATCAAGAAGAGCTGTAATGAGGATATTACATCATGTTACGTATAAAAAAAGGACCTGATGTGTGCATGCTCACACAGCTGCAGTGTCATCGGATGTGTTCACAGCATTTCTCTGTAGTACAATAGCACCACCTATAGCTGTTCCATAACTCTGCATATTTATAATATGCATCTCAAATAACACACCCTCCAACAGAGCTCCTAAGAGCAAACCTCTCCCACATCCTAGTGAAACAAGTGCAGGTGGATGAACCTCTCCTGCTGCGAGGAGGGTTCAGTGGCGCCGCACTCTTTTGCCTGAATCATTCCTGGTAATGACACTGCTGCATTTTCAATTCTAGTTTATTTTTCACACCGAGTTGTTAAGGTCACTCGTCAACATTCATCAAACCCCAACACACTGTTTTTGTTTTGTTTTTTCAGCTCTGGGGAGGGATAACACTGGAAATGCATATATCAGACTGCAAGGACACAATTAAACTGACTCAGTTATCTAACCTGCAGTTTGGGGAATTCATTCAGGACTAATGGTGGAGGCATAGATTATTTATCTCTGAACACGTTTCAATAAAATCTGCAGCTAGGGATCTGAAAATTCATAAAACTGCAAGACATGCAGGAGAAACAACAACAAAAATAGAACTGTTAAAACTTAGTGTGTATGTGCACACACATACAGACTCGCAGTGGGGTTTTTTTCATGCCAAAGGTTGGAGAGGCTGCCTCTTCAGAGAGAGATGAGCGCCGCCTGATCTGTGTTTAACTGCGCAGTCACACACGAAGGCAGGGCACCCCGTTGGTTAGCACTGCTGTCGCCTCTTATCAAGGACAGGTGGGTGACACCCGTTGGTACTGAGTGACATGGAAAGGTGGTAATCACACACCGGAACGCCCTGACACCCCTGTCAACTTGGGTGTCAGCCGCTCATGTATCCCAAGTGTCACTTAATCAGGGGAGCTTTTACACCACAACGGGAGTGCAGTGTGTGTGTGTGTGTGTGTGTGTGTGTGTGTGTGTGTGTGTGTGTAGTTTGAGAGAGAAAGGAGTTCATGTAATTCCGTACATGTGTGGAGGACTGAGAATGTGTCAGTGGTGAAATTAAGTCATTAATCAAACAGATGGATGCAGCTACAAAACAAAAATACCAAGTTTGCATAATGTTTCATGAAGAAACCCCATCAGTCTTTAGTAGAAATGCCAGAATGGCTGCTTAAAGATAAGTTTTGGTTGTGTTTGACATCACTGGCTCGTGCACAAGACCATCTGACTCACCAGCCGTGCGTGGGGGTTTCGATGGTAGTAGATTTCTTTGAAATCGTCCAGCCAGACCTCAGCAGCTCTCACACTGTTTGCCAGAGCTTTGCCCCGTGGGTACGGGGCCTTCTTAGGGAACACGTGGCCCACATGGGAGCATGGGTGGACCTCCAGAGTTCCCCCACACTGCCAAATCTAAGAGACATCAACAACAATGCCATGAGGATTTAGTTAGTGTCCCAGCCATGAATCAGTCATTTAAAACACAAAGCACGCCGTTGTTAGATGAGTTGGAAACATATAAAACTGTTAGAGATTTTTGCACCAACCCAACCAAACCACACAAGACCAATATGCAGAATTCTGCCACTAGGTGTCGCATTTGACCCAAAGGACAGTGCAAATGGAAAATAATGAAACAGAGAATATAGAGACTTCAGATCACACGGTAACGCACCTCTAAGCCAATTTACTAATCCCCAATAAACAATGAAGGACATCTGATTTAGTGTTTTAATTAGAGCCTGATACCAATATGAATGTCAAATGCCAACTGGGGCAGATTTTTATCAGCCAGCTGACAAATCAGGCTCTATTTAAACATGATATTATGTTAATTATTTTGCCATATTGCTTAATACAAGTTGAATTTTGCAGCATGATGCTGTCAGCACAGGCTGAACCTGAACATGATGACAACTGATGATTTAAAGCTGATTCACATAAAAACTAAATGTCAGCTTCTACAGCAGCGGAACAAAAAGTGAACCCGACTCTAGTTTAAAATAGGGAAGCTCAAATGTTTCACTGTAATGAGAGTAAAACTGTGGCCTATTTCCAATGGATTCATTAAGTGTTTATTTCAGAATTTGCAAATGTGAAGTTGCCTTTTGTATTCTTTGTGTTTTACAGCTGAAATATAAGATTATGGAGACAGTGTGTGTATTATTTTCCATCAAGCTACATGTGGAATACATGTATATGTATATGACACATATAAATGACAGAATTAACTTACCCTGAAGGAAAACTCCAGGTTCTCTCCTCCCCACACCTCCATCCCTGTATCATACGTTCCCAGGTATTGGAAGTACTTCTTGCTCACAGCAAACAGACCACCGGCCATTGTTGGAGACCTGAGGAGAAAAAATAAACATTCTGACAATAGTTCTCCTATCTATATAAATAAATCCTCCTCTGATGATCTCAGTGTGAGGTGTAGCACCCGCTGACAGTCTTGCGAGAAGCCTTAAATGCAAAGCGATGCATTATAATAAACACGTGCCGAACCTGATGACATCAGTGGGTGAGTGACGACGTTTCTGCTCAGACTCTGGGACAGAGTGCCAGGTGAAGACCAACCGCCAATCAAACCCTCCAATCTGAGGTTCGCCGGAGTTGCCAAGATACTGGAAGTTGTTCCAGTCGATTACGTCAATAACCGGACACACCACAGCCGACGGCTCCTCTTTGATCCTTTTGGAGAAAGGAGAGAAAAGCTGTTGACGGTGGGAGACGTCATCTGTTCATCTCAAATGTCTGAGCGGCTACTGATCATAGGGAGTCTGAGGTCAGCAACCAAACAGCTCTCCTGTAGCTGGCTGGGGGAGATTTAGTATTTAAGCTGGGCCAGACCACAGTCGGTCGAACCACAAGGCAACAATTTGCTGATACTTGAGAGACAAGAGTTGTGGCTTTACCCCGCTGGAGTTTTTCTCACCTTTGGAGCAGTGGCTCTAACCAGCCCACGTGACACTCGCAGTGGCAATCCAGGTAGGTCAGCACATCACCCGTGGTAATGGATGCCCCTAGCAACCGGGCCCGCACCAACCCCTCCCTCTTGGTGGCTCGGATCAGACGCACCTTCCTCAAACCTGAGATGTACTTTTCCAATGGCTCCTTCAGGTGAGCTTCAGGAGAATAAAACAAAGGAACACCACAAAATAAAATAAGACATCTGAAACATGTGGTATGTTCTCTCTGTGTGTGTGTGTGTGTGTGTGTGTGTGTGTGTGTGTGTGTGCGTGTGTGTGTGTGTACTGAGAGTAATCACATTTCTCAAAATCACTTCTCATATTTAATGAATAAGACAAACAAGGACAGCAAACACACCCTGCATATGTGTGCATTGGGAGAGGCAAGTATTGCTTCATTTCTAAATGCCACTTCTTTCCTGTCTCTGTTTGAATTTCCTAATTTCCTACAGGCCAAGTCTGTCTGTCACCACCATCTGTCAGTGGTTGTTTCCACGCCGTACCCTTGTCGCTGTAGTCGTCCACCAGCACCACCTCTTTCAGCAGGATGTCGGGGGACGTCTCCAGCACGCTGTGGACTGTCCTCAGCAGGGTGGACCAGGCCTCGTTGTAGAAGGCGATCACCACCGAGGTCGATGGCATGTTGCGATAATCATACTTCAGCTCCCTGCACCTGAAAAGGGAGAACTCAGGTGTTAGGAGACAGACTATTATTACCATTAACTTCACCGAGGAGGTTATGTTTTCACCACTGTACCTTTAGAAACTACAGAACAAATTATCGCAGAACTTGCGGGAAGGTTGTGGTACGAGGACCCATTAAAGAACCCATTACATTTTGGTGAGGATCCGCATCAGGGAGCGAATCCTGGATTTTTTTTTTTCCCTTTCATGAACATTACAAGATTGAAGAGGTTTTTCAACATTTTCATCCTTTCCCACAGAATAATTCATGGATCTAGTAAAAGAAACAGGCATATTTATGGAAGTGATATTTATGAGTGTATGGAAATTGGTGCAGCTTGATTGAATTTAAGGGGACTGTTGGACCTTGGAAGTATGCGCTCTACTAGTCTGATAGGAGAGAGGAGAGTTACATATGACAGTTACAAAACTGTCCCCGGAACCTCCCTCCTCCTCCTCCTCCTCCCCCATCCACCCACCTCTCTTCTCTCCCGAATTTTTCTCCTCTCACCCCTACTGGTATATTCACATGTACAGAATTTTTTTAATTGTTGCTAGAAGGGGTGTGGACAAAGGGTGTGGCTGGGTGACACTGGCTCCAACTGAAATCTGATAGGCCCTTGTAGTACCCCTGTCTTGTCAGTAGTCTTAAAAAAGTAGTCAACAACAATACTAACCATAAATATGAACACTAACAGTGACTGACTTCCACTCGTTCAGCAGCCACAGTGTCTCTGAGGCAGTTTTAACACATTATTCAATGGTGATGAAGATAGTTTGTGTGGTGTGAGGGTTGGCACAGCTCCACCATCAATTACACTGTGTTTCTCATTGTGTTTTAAAAAGGGGAAGGAGAGTTTATTGTCTACCTCCTATAATAGAAGAGCTGTTTATCAGTTCATTGTCCACCTACTATATAACACTTCTCTGCCTTTTGGCTAAGATCAAGTGTAACACTTATTCTTATCAGTTTAATATCCGATATGTCAATAAATTATTTATCTATCTCATTTGTTTACGACCCCTTGCATAGTTTCTCTGTTAGTTTATGCTGTTTTGCTCATTTATTGAGAAATAAAGTATATTTGAAATAAAAAACTTAGTGGGTTACACCTTGTGTTTGTGTTTTAAAAAAAATCATGTAATAGAAAAAGCTGTCAAGACATTTAAAGGTACAGTGTGTAGAATTCAGTGATATCTAGTGTTGAAGTTGCATGTTGCAGCTGAACACCCCTCACCTCACACTCTCCTTCCAAACATGAAAAAGAACCTGTGGCAGCTTTTAATTGTCATAAATCTTAAAAGGTGTTTAGTTTGTCCAGTCTGGACTAATGTAGAAAACATGGCGGCCTCTGTAGAGAGCGACCCCTCGATGTAAATATGAAGTATTTGAATATAAAGGGTCTTTTCTGGGGTAAAGAAAACTAGAATTCATACAATTTAGATGAAACGAACTAGTGAAAACTTCATGAGGATTATTCTACATTAAATTTCTGCCAATAGATCCCTTTCACCTAAATTTTACACACTGGACCTTTAATGCTTGAACCAAATGTTATATACTGATATGACTTAAATGTATGTATCATCTATATAATGATGTGTTAACTGTATAACTGTCAGTTTGGACTATGTAAAACCTTCTTTACATCTCTTGGTGTTAAAGATCAGTTTGTATAGTGTGTTGGTGAATAAAGTGTATTTGAAATAAAAGTTCTTACAGTGGGTTCCATATCTCCGGCAGCCTGCGGTGCAGTGACACTTTGTCGCTGATATAAATGTTGATCTGGTGATGTTTCAGACTCTGCTCCTCTTCTCTCTTCTCCTCTTGGTTCAGGGTCAGTTTGACAGCTCTGCCCAATTCACCCGGAGCGTTCATGTCCAGCGGAGGCTTCTCGTACACGGGCTTCTTCAGCTCCTCGTCCAACACCCGGTCCTCCACCACCTTCTTCATCTCCTCCTCCACGGAGGCCAATCGGCGTTTGGTGTCTTCCACCTCTCCGGAGTTGTGTCTGGAGAAAACGAGGTAGCCCACTAAAGAGACACCGAGGAGGAGGACGAGGATCTTGGGTCGGTTCCTTCTTCTGCAGGCTGCCATCGTGTCGGTCGCTTCCTCGGGGCACAGCCGGGTTGAGGTTGCATGCCCCGGTGAGAGAGAGCTGCCGGTGCCCGGTGCTGCTGAGGTGACCCTCTAGCTTTCCACTTCCACGTGTCTGCTCCTTCAGAGACTTTTTAAAAGTTCGTTCCTCACGAGCGGCAACATCCCGGGCTGAGCGCTGAGGCCAATGCGGAAGTGCAAAAATCTGCAGTTCAGTGGATGGCCACTTAAAACAATGTTAAGAAGCCCGTCATAACTCCAGCCTGCATTAGCGACGCGTTCCCGATTTGTCGGAGAAGTGGGCACCGAGTCTGCGAAGCGGAAATGTCTCCTCTTTTTTTTTTTTTTTATCTCGACGGATTTCAGAGCAACACACTCCTCCTCCTCTTCTTCTTCTTCCTCCTCTTCCTCTTCTCCTCCTCCTCACTTCAACGCCGTGCTGAAGGGAAAGTGTGAACGGATTAACTAACTCGGATTATTTATCTCCCGGGATTAGCTCGCTACTTTATCCTGCATCTTCCCACAGGAGACGAAACAAATCCAGGTCAAATCAAAAGCACGGCTCACGTTTAGTTTCCAGCTAAACTAAAACACACGCTCACGATTAAAACACGCACATACCGAGCTAATGCCAACATTAAGAAGAGACATCCTGTGTGCTGCCATTTCTTTAAAGTTCTTAGTGTGACCCACAAACCTATAAATTACCACACCGTCAAGATAACACAGAATGCTGCTTCATTTCCGGTGTGCGACTCTCAAGAGGTCAACATCTGTATGAACAACACTGACCATGAAGAAAACCCATTTCATTACTTCTCCTACAAACACATGTTCAAATTATAAAATCCTTTTAAATGAACATCAATAGAATTGGTTGAGAAATAGTTCAAGTTCATTTTTAAGTTAACTTCCCCCCCCCCGGTTATTATATGTGGAAACATGATACATATGACTTTAACCCAAACATATAGTCACATTTGTTTTATTAAATATTTATTTATTTTTCTTTATACATTTTAATATTGTTTATAGTGAAATGAGCCGTAACCGTGGACTTTGCTATCTGCAAGTGTCTGTTTACTTAGAAGTTTTATTATAGATCCTATTCCCGGCTCTCTTGATTTCACTATCTACACATGAGCTGTGAAATTCTTGTTTGTTTGTTATGCTATAAAACCACCTTTTTTCAGTCCGGTTTAAAAACTTCACCTAAGCAATTTCAATTTTGCTTTTATTTTGAAGGCAATATAGTTATACCGGAAGTGTAATTGATTTTCTTTCTTTTAGGGAGGTAAAGGTACATCTCTCACAGCAGAGCAAGTTTATCAAGAATAAAAACAATGACTGTAAGTGAGATTTAAAATCCTCCACATACAAATCTAGATCTATTCTTTGTTAATGTATCTTTACTAATCTGTATGAAGTACATCAAAGTATAGAGCTGGGCAATATCAGCAAAATGTTACCAAGATGAAAACCTTTCGATCGATCAAGTAATCGATAATCATCACAATAAATCAGTTAGTTTTTGGTTAAAGGACGTTTTTGAATCAGGGTTGTGGTTTTAAACTTTTCTTCATGAGCACAGAATGACAAAGATTTTAATAACCACAAAACATTTTATAAATCTGAGGTAGAACATTCAACTTTTCATGTAGTATACCTTGCACAATGCACAAGTGATATAGTGATGCACATTTAAGTTTTTTTACTGTGATAATTATTATTTTATCTCCCAGCCCCATTAAAAAGTATTTATTCATATATTTCTGAAACCTAATATAAAAATAATCACTCTGAATCATCATATTTCTGGTAATAAGAGTGAAACACTTATAATGACCCAGCAAGAACCCAGGACCTCAGTTCAGATCATGCACCTCGGTGGTCTCACTTCATATGAAGCCAGTTGTCACTCAAATGAAACCGATATGAAAACTCTCGACACCAAATATGCAATTGGACACAAAAAGTATGTTTAAGCAAATTAAAATGTTAAATAATTAAGGCGACCGCTTCAAGGCGAGAAGGTAATTTGAGTGGTGTGCTGTTTGATGGAGTGCCCATATTGTGAAAACTACAAAGAGACACGGGAAGGCAACAAGTGAACAGGAGTGTTGTAATATGCCACGGCCCGCTGGGCTCATCGTGTCTGTCACCTGACAATGAGACACGATATTAATGTCGATGCATGAGGGCGTTTTCATTGAGGAGCGGCTGATGGATGACATTTTCCATGCAACAGATAATTGGTGCAAATGTATTAAACACAATGCACCTTGGGCTGAGTTATTTTCCCGTCCGTTGTTACTGCACTATAGTGGGGCCCAAAAAACAGAACACATCACTGACATGCTATTTTATTTTTATTCTGTCTTTATCAAATGTAGTTTAACTGGAAATATGAAACAAAAGCTAACAACGGAAACAGGCTTTGAATTTAATTGAGTAGCGTCACCCATGTGATGAGGGTGATCGTTCTCAGACAACATGTGGAAGTGGTTGATCCAGTCTGTCTCGTTTCATGTCATATGACGTGGCTTTATGATTCTGCTTTATTGTGCGTTCCCTTCAAACAGGAAATATACTGAACGTCAAACTCTGTGAGATTCCCTTTGGAGAAGTGGAAGGAACAGTGCACATGCAGCCTCTCTGCATCACAAACAGCTCAACCTAAAGGGGGACAGTGGTTGAAAGTTGCCAATGGTCTTCTCTCATGCATCTTGAGAAAGAGAGAGGCAGACTGTAAAAGACACAACAGGATGACACAACATTCTGTATTAGGTTTGAAAGCTCTGAAGCAACCAGCATAATGTGGTTACAGATCTCATGTGTGAGAGGGGTTAAATATAATTTGGTGCAGGAGGAGGGAGGATTAAAGTATCAGTGTGTAGGATTTTGTGGCGTCTTGCTTCAGGGTTGCAAATTTAACGAATACTCCTCCCTTCAAAACTCCTTTCCCAAGAAGGTAGGAGAACCTACAATGGCCTTCAGGTAAAGTAGAAATGCTAAAGGCTCCTCTAGAGCCGGTGTTTTTTGATTATTCTAGGCTACTGTAGAAACATGGCGTTGAAATATGGTGACTCCATGCAAGAGGGTGCTATGTAGATAGGAATGGTTCATTCTAAGCTTCAGGTGATTGTGAGTGAAAGAAACCATAATTATGAATTTCTATATTTCATTTCTGCCAATAGATTCCCACTAAAATTGATCCATCCTGGTCCTTTAAATAAAGGGGTGGAGAAAATTTAGTTAATTAAGCAGGTCACATGAGGACTACAGCAAAGACTACCCCTCCATATTAACAACTGATCCTAGACTTACTTCTTTTGTTTTGAAATGCTCTTCGAAGCGACGCTGTAAATTCTGACAATACAATCCTGTATTGATCTCTGTGAGGGAAATTCAGGTATTACAGCAGCCCAAGTAAATAATAAATACAGGTAAGAAGAACAGAATGAAAAAAGGATTAGGAAAAGATAAAGATTAGAGTAAGACATGTTAGTCCAACTTGACTGGATAGTTGTGTTTGATTAGTAGAATTTATTCGATTGATTTCCTCGAATAAAAGTTAATTAACTTTTAAATTTCATGACCTTCCAGTGCAACACCTAGTGTCCTCAGTGTTATTTGCCTTCCCGCCAGTAGATGGCGACAAATAACTGTGAATGCTGTAAATCCATGTTTAAATGCAGAGGGGAGTGAGGATCAAAGCTGTAGTAGAACATGCTGCAGGCCTCAGTAAATGAAGAAATCTATTTCAAGTTGGCTCGATAAACGCAGCTTAGATGTTTATTTTTGAACTACCTGTTGATTTCTTTCTCCCAGAGGAACTATAACATTCTGTGTGCGAAGAGACGACAGTAAAAACACGACAACTGGATATTTCTGGTTAGTTTTTTTATTCTTTAAACCACCCCCACAGCTTTAATCTCATTTGAATCATCCACCCAATCCATTCCCCCTCCCCCTGGTATCAAGTAATCATCATTGTTTTTGCATCATCAGTAGTTTTAGAGGCGCTTTACCACAGCACCCCCCCCCACCCCCCACCCCGGTCCCTTATTTCAAACATTATTTACAAAGGCCACACAAGACAACAGCCATCTTACATGTTTACCCACTGTTTCCATTGACTGGTCTGAATAACTTGTATTAATGAATTCAACAGGGACCAAAATGTTGCTCGGCGATAAGCTATCGTCAACAGATACAGCTGCAATTTAACCAGAATGTCAACAAACAGCTACGCCTCATCTCTTTGTCAGTACAGACCAGTAAAAATACTGATGATATAATCATCAAAAAAAAAAAAAAAAACACAAAACAGGAAGGTTTCTGGTGACATTTCAAGTACAGTTTACACACAGGAGTCCAAACAAAACCACCAAGTTAAAAGATTAAATTAAACAGGTCCTTCCTTTTAAGGCATCAAGTGCATCAGGCCAGTGACGTTTCAGATTTTAAGCATTCAAAATGCTCAGAATTCATTTGACACCCACTGGCACGTTTCGTTTCGGCACGGAATAGTTCTTCTAATAGGATGACAACCTCTCTAAGGCACATTGACAGACGAGTTCAGAGGGTCGTCTTCATTTTACACAACAGGGAAGAATAGACTAACAACATTCCTGTCAACTAGCTGAGCCCTCAGGGGCAAATTATGCTTTGTGCAAATTGCTTAATGAACGCTTCAAGTCTTGTTCAGGCAGCATCCTTGCATGAAACTGGCTTCACAGACGAGAGATGGAATTGAGGAGCAGTGTAGTATGACCACAACACTCCCTCGCTGTTTCCCTCTCACATGATGGAGCATGTAATGCTGCCGCTGACCTTACATTCCTGGCAAGACTTCTCCTTTTTCTTTTTGGAGCAGCTCATCTTTTAATTGGCTGTTTCTTAACTTGGCTTCTTAAGAAACAAGCATGAGAATTTAACAATAATTCACTGCACGATTAGTAGTGCAGCACGATTTTGCATCTAGTTTTCAAGGGAACACTTTTGTCTAGAATTTTCTGGAAGGCACGTCTTCATGTGCTGGACAGTCGAACCAGTTTCACTCCTTTCAAGTTGTTGCAAACAAGGCGATAACGACACTTTTAAGTGTGCGCTGGATTCCACTTTGGTTGCAGAGGCACTTTAATGAAAGCTACTCAAAAGTTTAGGTCACGTTCTGCTGGCCTCCTTAAAAAGACCAAAAAAACCTCACCTTGACATTCTTCTTCGCTCCATCACAATCTGCACCTGTTCGGTCATTCACACGGGTATAAAAGCTGTGAATCGGGTGAAATCATTGGCTTAAAGTGACTTTTCACCGCCCTGCATTAGCTCATTATCGCCATTCAAATGGCGAGCAGACCTGGAGAGCTGGGAGCAGCGGAGAAAACGTCCACTGTAGTAATTGCACTATGGTCAAAGAAGGTCACTTGAGGTTTCCTGCTACCCTGTCTCTGTCTACCACTCAAACTTCCATTGCTGGCTCTTGTCTGCTGGGTTGCAGCTCTTCATCTGGGTGTCTCCGCGGCCCTCTGGCGTGCGGTAGGTTGTCATGCACATGTTGGAATGAGGGTGGTAGATGGTCCCGTCCTGTTAGGGTGAGAGGTGGAAATGTGTGTCAAATGAGTTCTATCGGATGAGTGAGAGACGGCGTCTTTGTGTGTGTAAAGCTGCTTTCAGACATGCACTGAACTCTGGAGATTTCTGTGTTGAGTGGAGAATCTCTTACTGCTGCGTTGTTCATATGGGAAAGACAATCTCTTTGAACATTCTTCGGAGTTCATGTCTGAAATCGGCTTAAACGTGTGCACAACTTACGTCTCGGAACTCCCAGGTGATGCTGGGAGGCTTGAGCTCCCCATCATGAGGACAGTGCCTCATCCCGATGGAGGTCTGTCCATCGAGCACTTCGGCACACAGCTCTGTCACCGAGTTGAAGCGGATCTCCTTCTGAGATGTGTATTCAAAGTACTGGAGAAGAAGAAAGACCTGGTTATGTATCTGCTCTGGATTTTATTGTAATTGGACATTTCTTAAGAAAAACAACCCAACTGGAAAAGCTGTGGTGACAAAGAGATGAAAACAATGTTCTGCCCTCATTCCACTATCTCTCTTTCTCTCTACCTTAATCTCTCTTTATTCTGAAAACATTCCGATGAGAACAATTGTGCAGGTTGGCATGTTTTTGTTTTTCTCTGGGATTACAGGATGTTTTTCTCTTACTCTGGGATCAGGTCCTGGCTCGGACATCGTTACGTGGCGTGTCTGTGTTCGTGCGGAGGGATCTCATCAGTAAAGACGGGGTCTTGGCACACTCAATCGAGCAGACGTGAACACGAACCCAACCCCTCCCCTCCTCTAGTGTCATTTCAACACGCTGGTCCACTGGGACAAAGGATGCAACAATCCCTGGGCTAGCCATTAAACGGAGGGTCAGGTAATCAATCTTCATACTTCCCCATCCTTCTCTTCACATCTCATACATCTTTTAGGTGCATTGGGGCCCTTAATGGTTGTTTCTAATAAAAGACTCACTTGAGGCCCCTGTGTCTGGCTTGAAACGTATTTACCCGCGGCTGTGCCATTCATTCAGCTTGCGAGCCTCATGTATCTTTTAAAACGGAACGCGGGTTCTTATGTGGGCCAGGGAAGAGAGAGCAGGAGGGAGGCAGTGAAGGGCCCTCAGGTTTGTGTTTCAATTTGGGAGCCATTCAAACATTGATTTTCAGTCACACATGGTGCTTTTTTGTGGCTGGGGACACATGATGCGCTGCATCAGTTCGGTAATCAGAGATATCAAGCAGGTCGGGGATTCTCAGAAAGAAGCTCTGCCTATTGCCTGACTCCAACATTAAATATACATCATCACAGACAATGAATCTGCTGCCTGCTAAACCATCCATCACTGCAGCTGGCAGGCGTTCAATTAGAGTACCAGTGATTCCACTGCATGATATTTTGGTCGGTTTCTGCAGGTTTCAAGACGTTAAATTTAACAATGAATTAAATGTAATATCTAGTATGAAAGATATGTACAGAAACTTTGAAGTCCCATAAGGGAACTTTTAAAATTGTTTGAGTCAGATATTTACAAGATAATTTACCTAAATGTCATATGTGTCTTTTACAACTTCAGATGCAAACAGCCACCTTGATGGAGAAACCACACCTGTACATGAATGTAACATTATGAAATTCTCTAACCTTTTCCCATGAGGTCATTATCTTATCTCCTTAAACCACTTAACTAACGATCAGTTGCGGTAGCCTAGCAGAGAATAACCCCAGAAACACAATGTTATCTTATAAACTACAGGCAGAGACAGTAGGTATCCACCTAACATACCTTTTAAAGCCTAAAATCCAGATTACCAAATTTTAGACGGTCTAAAACCATTTGGAAACCCTGTATATGTGGATGCACTACCAATCTTTGTATTTCCCCTTCATCGCATTCAAGTCAGGCTGCTCGTATCAGCAGAGAGAATTTTTCTCGTGTGAATCAACTGTGGCAGCTCGTTTTAGGGGTTATCAGAAATCGCTGACATTTTAAATTACATCTCCCACAAGGCAGGGAGAGGTTGCGAGACTATGACAAGAGAGAATATGTGAACGAGAGAGATGGACGAAGACAGAACAAACGAGGTGTGAAATGCTCAACGTACCTGGTTACCTCCCTGGCCGTGGCAGCCGAACAGAGAGAGGTGGGCCCCTGTGGGACTGTGTTCTGGAGCGTTGTAGTCCAGACACTCAGAGGTTATCCCTGAGCTACGCACCTGGTAACAGCAGAGCAAGAAATAGCAATACAAATTTTAATGCTGTATTTTATTGATTGCTGGATGATGTCGCTCTCGGTTGGTTTTATTCTTAACAGGCAGGTCGGACTGTGAGGTCACACACAGAGCAGCACACTGACGCAGATAGATTAAGCCGTCTGATTAAATGACAAGAAACACCCCGACACGCTGTTGTTTGGTTATTTTCCACATCAACACACGTCTATTAAGAAATCAATATGATATTGATGAGCAATTTCCTGCTTTCATTTCTACTTTTAAAGAAAGCTATATTCTCAAGTTATGTCATTGTGTTCATGCTGTAAATGTTCACACAGCTGTCAGTATGGCAACATGGGATGATGGGGGATTTTCTTCTCCCATTCTGTCCTAATAATTCTTTTGGGGATTTTATCTTGTTCATACATTGTGGTGGATGACATATTCCACCAGGTGTTTGAATTGTAATGGTCTTAAGCTCTGTCCAAACTGGGATTTAAAGCCTTTGTTTGTCTTTGCCAAGCCTTCTTACTATCAACAGGATTTCCCCACATCATCCCCACACCTTACACCAGGTGTTAGACTCAAAATAGATGGAATAGGAAGGAAGAAACACAAAGCTTCAATGCTACTTCTTCAGCTGCTTTCACTTGAGCTGAAGTCCAGAAATTCTCCTGAAAATGTCCCAAGGGCTGTATGTTTTTTTGTGACTTTAAAATTTGGGTACAAATCAGCGAAAGATCTAAGATCAGAACTATTAAACACTGATTCTGCAGTTTGTTCCTAAAAAAAATGTGCACAGCAGACACTCACAGCCCCGTGCCAGCCCTCCCTGTCCTCGGGCACATGTAGGTCAGGGTAGATGTTCTTCAGGTACCAGTCGAAACTATTGCACTTCAGCCTCCCCCTCAGCAGCAGCCGCCCTGAGATGTCCCCGTAGTTTTCCTGTAAAAGGAGCACAATTTATGAGTTATCCTTCCTGAGACGTGAGTGGAAACGAACACACCTCAGTGACCCGACAACATCACTTCATCACCATCAGTCTCCACTTCGTTCATTACACACTCATTATTTTGTTTGATATTCTTATCATTAAAGATCAGTTGTACTGCAACAGAATAGACAAACCATGAAAGCAAATATTTACATCCTGGATATGACAGCCAAATCCCATACATATGATACCACAACTGTGAAACTTCCAGTAAGTACAACTGGCTGGTTTGGATTGGTCACACCTATTGTGCATACTTTTATATTTTAGATAGCTGTGTTTGCTGAGGTGGAGAACTCCTCCTCGAGCGAATCAAAGTCCAGAACCATCACACACCTTAAACCTTTGCACTGCCTGAGGGTACGACATACACACAGGATCTAAGAGATTACGAGCGACTATGGCTCTGCAGATAGAACAGGTTCCACTTGTTTAAGTTTCCTTGGGCAAGACATTAAGGCCCTAACTGGCCCTGATGGCGTTGCCATTAGTGAGTAAATAGGATGAATGAGTGACAATTGTGTGAATAAGTGCATTTACTATTGTTTCAGTCCCACACATGCTCCAGCCAGTCTTTCTAAATCAGCGTAAAAGTCTTCGGAAACTCAAATCCATCATCCAATAAAAACTCTCCATAAGCAGAAACCTTACCTTACCCAATTAGTCCGATCCATTTTATTATTCTATTCTATTCTGTCTTTCAAAATGATCCCGATCGCCTCCAAGTCTATTTCAGGATGTCAGAGGTCCCGTCTGAAAGGTGACAAGCACCGAGACAAATTTATTTGGACCAAATGATCCTGAAAAGCTCAAACAACTCTCTGACAATGTCTTTGACATATGCGAAAAAAAGGAATCGAATCTGTCTCAAACCTTTAATGATGGTCAATTTCAGACTAAAAATACAGACTTGGTAAGCAAAGACCTTAATGCAGAGAAATTCTCCAAATCCAGGATATAAAAATGGTACGCTTGAACACTGTAAAATATCAAATCAATATATGTAACTAGCTGCACTGAATGAAAAATAATTATGTACAAAACCAAATCAATAATTCTCTCTGTAGCTCTGCAGTCACATATTCTGACAGCAGACTCATAGATTAGGAGCTGGTGATGTTGTCTGGCAGTGCTGTGTTCAATCTCCCCCTGACCAAGTAATTTATTGTTTGATCAAAGATCCCTGACATTAATAATGTAGTTTTTATTCAGATAGGTGAAACTGAGATACATGAATATTTGATGATGCTCAAATACTCAGAACCCGATAGGAAGGACACACACACCACACACAAACTCACACATACACCCGACCCAGGAGGCAGAGTTTAATCATATGCTGACAGGTGAATCGTGTCATATGAAACATCTAACATCAAAAGGTGAGTTGCTCTTTGCAGCTTTTTAAAATGTGACTGCTTGGAGGAATATTGCATCACTCTAAGGCTTTGGTTAGAAACCAGTTGGATGAAAAACATTTAAGAGGCAGAGTAAAGCTATTTTTTAGACATGAACTCTGTAAAATTGGGTCCGCACATTTCCTTGAATTCGCATTTCACATATGAAGAATGCAGCCATGTGCTTTTGTTTAGAGCATCAACACCGGTGTCGGCCCTTATCATCAAAAGCTCTCGAATCTTGTTGCCTTTCCAATTTGACGTCTCGTCCTTCTATGTCTATGACACCTCCTCTTTATCCTAAGACATTTGTATTTGCCGTTTTGCGTCCATCACGTGTTAGAAATGTCAGTGATTTTCTGGGACTGGCAGGAAAAAGTTACATAAAATGTCCACAGCAGCTGACTTTGACATTTGCGTTCCCAAATGCGCGGATATCAGTGCATTTCTGAAAGGCTTAAGTTTAGCGCCACTTGAATGAAAACCCTGCATCTGACAACTGAGACAGAGCTCAGTGCTGGTGAATGTACAATTCTAAGACCAACAACCCAACCAGCAAAATGTTTAGAAACATGGTTCAGGTGATGATGGTGTCCTACCTTTCTAGCTGGTGGATTCCTGTTGTAGAAGTGTTGTTTATAAGAGTCCATCCAAACCTCTGCAGCTCGCACAGTATTCTGGAGGAAGTTGGGCCGAGCATAAGGGGCCTTTTTGGGGAAAACATGTCCCACATGAGAGCACGGGTGAATCTCCAGGCTGCCCCCACACTGCCACACCTGAGGGAATAAAACACATGATATGAACAGGAATTAGATGTTTTTAATAATATTCCTGCCCATTATATATAAATATCTCTCTCTCTCTCTCTCTCTCTCTCTCTCTCTATATATATATATATATATATACATATACATACACACGCACATATATACAAACACTATGATAGAGGACCATTAGCTGCATCAATATCTTTATCATTAACCTGCTAACTTGTCAATTATTCACCACTTGTTGAAGTGCTGAATTTAGGCACTTACTCACTTTACTGCATGGGATTATCCATCATTCAACTACAATCATTGACTTACCTGCAAATAAACCAGAAGATCACTTGTAAGTTGCCAAAAGTTACTTTTTCAAATAGACAAACAAAGTTATTAGATGTAAGTCCATCTGGGGATCTGTCCTCGTGCAAATACTCATATTTTAGTTTGGACCTATACAAGCATAAATCCTTCCTTAAAGGAGATTACAAACCTTAATCAGAATAAAATGATAATATTTGTGTTGACTGATGCTGTGTTAGAAATCCTCTATTAATGACAGACAAAGCCATCTGGGGTTTACCTTCAATCTCACCATGAAAATCCCTCTCTTTCTGTAGTGAGTCATACAACTTCAACTGAATACGGCTGATTTATGGCATCAATTTGCATTTTGTAATTACTTGTTCTTCCACCTTGGAAAAACAAAAATAAGCAAGCAAGCCCCTTAAATAATGAAAGCTTGTTAAAAAGGTATTTCTTAACAGTTGGCTGAACTGCGTTCCAGTAACACAGTGCAAAATCATTGTCATATATCCACAGCCATTACCATGACAGTCGCTTCCATCTTAATTTAGTCATTTCACTCGCCAACAGAACAGACTTCAAACCAAATTCAATAAACATCAATTATTCATGTAAAAAGTCCCAGTGAGAGGCATTCTTATGTCCACAAACCCCCTGGGGGAACAGCCCATCCGCCTTCACACTGCAGCCACATACACTATAAACCACGACCCACCATTCTGATGCATGCTCTTGCTGCAAACTCACACATGGACTATAATCTGTGCCAATTTGATTGACACTAACTAGTGAAAAGAAACACCAGAATCTCAACAAGAGATCAGCCAATATGAGGGTGCCGTTTCAGATGCCATGGCCGACTGAGATCTGACACGTGTCTCTCTCACATCATCTACCCACTGACCGTGAGCTTGTTAGCTGGACGCAACAAAGGATCAGGGTCATACACTAAGAAATAAAGATTCCCTTTGGCAATGAGTTGCCAAAAAAACAAATCTGTCGATCTTTCTGTTTTCTTTTCAGACTACAGTAAAAAAAAGAAAAAGCAGAGTGAACTGATGGTCTGTCTGTAAGAGGTTTTGGTAGATTTTTGGTTAGATTAGTCACTCTTTCCCAACATCTTAAAAAACCACACTCTGGTCTAAATTACTACATGTCCTCACAGCCTCACTGATGGAAAACTGAACTCACTCTGAAGGAGAGCTCCAGGTTTTCTCCTCCCCACACCTCCATGCCCATGTCATATGTGCCCAGGTACTCAAAGTAAGCCTTGCTCACGGCGAATAATCCACCTGCCATTGTTGGGGATCTGGAAGAAATTTAAGGAAATTAAAGGCCAAAATCTTCTAAAAGTGTGTACGAAACTGTCTGAAGTATCAAACCATCACCTGATGGGGTCAATGCGAGAGTTGCGCCTCTTGCGTTCCACTTCAGGGACCGAGTGCCACTGAAAGGTGAGTCTCCAGTCAAATCCTCCGATCATTGGCTCGTCTGTTTGCATGTAGAACTCAAATGTGTTCCAGTCAATGGTGTCGATCACAGGGCACACAATGGTGCTGGCATTCTCGCCGATTCTTAACACAGCACAGAGAGAACAGACTCAAACTCAAAACTCTGATATAGTCTTTTTAGTCTCGCTTTCCTGTTGTTTGTTGTGTTCTGACGGATCTGGTCAACCCACCTTTCCAGGAGAGGCTCAATCCAGCCAGGGACGCACTCACAATGGCAATCGAGAAATGTCAGTACATCACCCGTGGCGTAGGTGGCGCCGATGAGACGTGCCCGGACCAGCCCTTCTCTTTTGTTGGTCCGTATGAGCCGCACGCGGTTAAGATCACTGATGTACTCAGCTAGTTTGGATTTCAGGTATCCTATTTAACATAAAAAAAACACACACAAACACACAATATCATAATTTGTAACATTAGGCTTTGTTATTTCCTCTTCCTACGTCTAACTTTAAAGCTGCTTTAAATTATGTTTAGCCACTAGAGGGCAGAAAAACACCCAAATAAATTGATTTCAAATCGAGCAGACACGATTATTTAAATCTCTTAACACAGCACTGTTAAGTAAGCTCTCACATGCTCTTCGATGGACACTAACACGTCCAATTGAAACAAAGCATGCAGACAGGCATGGAATGCATAAGGTAGGTATGTCAGGTGTGTTTCAACAGTCAGGTAGGTTGTTGAATGTAAGGAGGAAGTGAAAACAAAAAAAATGTAAATCTGAGCTCAGGCTCAGAGGCTATTGTGTCAAGTTAATGTTTCTGTGGTTTCAGAAAATGTGAGTTGAGGGATTTGATTCAGTGCCAGTAAAAAGATTAATGCAGGTTTAATCATTTACTCACACTAAAACCTTTGCTGATGAATGGATTCATTTCATTGTTACCTAAACCCCAATATCAGATGAGCCACAGTAACACACCTTTCATGGGCTAAAGGACGACAGAGGTCAAAAGGAGGCTTGGTATGCCAGACCCTGTTCAAAAAGCTTGGAAACATGAGAATGCTGTCTGTCCTCCAGTCACTGTCTGTCTCATGCAACCCTTCTGGTTCTGGAGTGGCATTTCTAACATTCCATTTGGTCAAACTGGTGAGAGGAGAGGAAATTATGTCATGGCATTTCAGCGCTCACTGAAGTCATCGTTATGGTGTAATGTCTCTGATACACACACAGACTAGACAAGCTGGGACTGAACACTAGTTCCATTTAGATGGACGGACATTGAGCAACGTCTATATCCACTTTCTGAGACAAAATCATATCACTCTCTGTGTTAACAAAAATAACATGACGTCCCATTTGCTGATAGGATGCAAATGAAAGTTTACAAAGAGCTAGTGAGTGAGTGAGTGAGTGGACCTATAGTCGAAACTTGTCACATTTACTGTTCCAAAGGTCAAACTTTTGTAATAAATATATATATATATATATATATATATATATCAATTCAAGCGTTTATTGTCATTGAACAGCTGTAAAATGACACTTAAGTGCAACTCCTCTCCGTGGTACAAAGAGACAATAAAAAAAACAATAAAAACAGCTAAAAGGAAACAAAGATCAACCAACAACTCAACTACTAACTATAGATAGACAGGCACACAAACACACACACACACACAGTGAGACAAGCAAGGTATTATTGTTTGGCCTATACTTACTTATTTTTAATGATTGTTAACCTTTTTTTTTTTCTTCTAACATCCATGTATTTTGATGACCTTTAAATACATTTTAAAAAAGCCAATTGTGCCCACTACGTGCTATTACTCATCACTTTATCTAATAATTAAGGGAATGTATCCTAACTAGTTTCTTGGGATGTTTTCCCAGACTACATTGAGGGGCACTACCAATTAACTGCTCCATAGATAGATTTAATTTGTCTATTTATAGCAGAGTCCTGCTTAACTTGTCCCTCTGTACGCTGTCAAAGCCACAAAGTCTGAGGTTTGGTTTCTTTCTTAAACTAGGCCAAGTTCTCTTTTGTTTCTGAGCTTTTGAGTTTGTTCCCTCTTCCGTCAGGTTTGCTTTTAACCGAGTATATAACACAATGGTTTATTTATTTTTGCTGAGTGTCAAACCTCGGTCACTGTAGTCATCGATGAGTATGATCTCTTTCAACAGAATGGCGGGTGTGGTCTCCAGCACGCTGTGGATCGTCCTCAGCAGGGTGGACCAGGCCTCATTGTAGAAGGCGATGATCACAGAGGTGGTGGGCAAGCGACGGTAGTCAAACTTCTTAGTTCGGCATCTGTTTGTGTGGGTGGGGTTCAGAGGAGGGAGAGACAGGGTTTGCATTAGAAAAAGTACACATGTAGGGTACAGATTTATAACAAAAAAAAGTGCCAAAAACAAAGAAAACTACAAATATAGCTCACAGAAAAGACTCAAAGCCAGGCAAAGATTATTTGTGCATATGGCCGGAAAAAGCAACTACTGAGGCGAGAGGAGGTGTCTGGTTTTAATCCAGATGGCAGTCATTAAAACAATAAAGAGCCACAGAAATATGGATGGGGGTAGGGAGGGTATCGCACCAATGAGCAACATACCACAGCAGTGCTCTGGGAACGACGACAGAAACTTTGGCAAACAGAAAAAAAAGAGCAGAACAGATGCGAAGGGAAAAAGTCAAACTGGAAAAATTGGAAAGTAATGATTTGATGGAATGAGAACAAAGTGAGGAAAGGGGAGAGCTAACTTTTTTTCTTCTTTTCCATAAGCTGTGTTTTTGTGAATCAGTGTGTACAACACTGTCAGCGTGTGAACACTGGCACAAGCTGAATGACTTCTGGATGTTTTGTAGCCAAAGGCTCACACCACAACTATGACACAGTTGGAAGTTTGTTGGGAGCACAACAAATACGCAATGCCCCGCAATTCGTCACAACCAATCAAACAAGCCATTTTTATATCTGTTAACAGCTCTTGTGTTTACAGCATTTCATGGTGGAGAGAAGCAGTCCACAGTGAATCTACCACAAAAAGCTGCTCTAGAGAAGAAACTGATGTTATTATGAAGTGAGCGCACGCACACACATTTGCTTACATTGTTGCTAGGTATAAAGCCAAACAGAGCACTTGGGTCAGCCTGACAACAGGAAGATGCTTCCACATCCAAATACTAATGTCTGTGTAGGCTGTAACCGACAAACCTAACATCATGTAGAACAGCCCGTAATGACTCACTGCGAGTTGCTATGTTGGATGAAAGCCACTCATATCACAGCTGCATGTGTATAACTAGAAAAACATGTTTCAGAACACTGGGTAAGATCTGCAGCACAGCGCACCACTGTGTCTTGTGTCATTCACCTGCATAACGATGTGAGCACAAAGACATCGAAGGACATGAGTTCAGTGACGCCTGCTGACGTGCTCCTAACCACAGCTGGGTCCCAATTTAGTTAATTTTTTGAATTTTAAAGTCCGAACCGAAATGAGACAGTTTGGTCTAAGGAGGATTTCTGTGATCATTTCTGATCTGAGTCACCAGCTTGCCTGGCGCTTGCCGCTGTCACCGAGCAACAGAGCTGCAGTTGGACACGATCAGAATGTTTAAATGCCCTTTATTATTTTAACATGTGTACCATTAGCTGTTCAGTTCACTTGAATCCCAACACTTCTATTTAAAGGTATAAACCTAGGATAGGTTGGCCTGAGAAGGATCCACCTGTTGGAGCCATTGCTGCTTGTGTTTGAAAGGTCGCATTTTTCAGACGCAATTGGACGAGCCTTCGAAATGGGACAGAGTGGTGACACCTCTGTGACACAGTCTATCTTCAAACGAGCCTCCAACAGGTAAAGGGAAAACTGCAAAGACCCATCATGCTCCGTCACACAGTGAGTGGTAGTCTGCATGGAGGAATGATTGTTTTAACATCACAGATTACTATAATTCCATTATGCTGCAGCCTGATGTTTACGCTATCTTTGGATAAGCACAGGGTTTGACTTTCCACCTTCCAGGCAGATTCCTCAGTGCAGTGACAACATCAAAGTGTCTTATCGGTCTATCTCTGAATGTGCAGCCGTGTTGCTGAAAAATATATTTTCCTCAAGTTTAACCTTGGTAAAGCACCAGATTCATTTGTCATCCATTTATTTTGTGTCAGTATTTTAAGTCAATTTGAAACATTTTATCATGGCTTGCTTAATGTCTTCCTAAAGTTTATACATGGATGTGATCATAAATCCAGTGCTTAAAGAGAAATCTGTGCTTCCCTGTTACACTCCAGAGCGCATAAAACAAACACATGGTCGTTACACACACAAATGATGGTTCTCACCGCGCTGATGGAAACCACATCTGGGTTTCATTAGGAGGGAGAGAGAGAGAGATGAAGAACTACTAATAAAAAAGACATCATACTCTGTGTCTCATCACAGGCAATGACTCTGGGTGGAAATAAATCTGTTCAGGCACAGAGCTGCTTACACCAGCTTCAGTAAGCCCTGCAATGCATAAGCCCTGCAATGCATCATGAGCCTTCATCTTTGTTTCGAACTGTCAGTGGAAAACTGATTCCAGTAAAGAGCTCAACTTAATCTCTATTGAGTCATTTATCCTTGACACAGCTGCAGCCCAGCTATCAGCTCCATGCAGCGTTCGGGGCCAGAGATGCATATATGTTTTGGCTGAAGCCTCAAAGAAAACAGCAAGCAAAAAAAAAACTGATGTGCTGAAAAACAATTTTAGTCATCAGGTGGTTATTTATTTTTAGGATCCAGTTTCCCTTCTACTCACTCACTCATCCTTTGGTCCTGGATATGCCTATGGAGGGAAATCTTGTCACTGACGAAGATATTGATAGCGTAGCTCTCAACAGAGTCCTGCTCCTGTTTTTTTTCTTCAGCACTGAGGGTGAGGTGTGTGGCCCGGCCCCACTCCCCCGGCGCATTGCTGTCGGGTGCCGGCTTAATGTAGAGAGGCCTAACCAGCTGCCCATCATTCCTGCTCTCATCAAAATCGAGCTCTCGTGCCACAAGTTCGTGTTCCTCGTCCTCCTCTTCTTCGAAAGAGGGGGAGGGGAAAGAGGAGCGTGCCAACAAAATGTAGCCCAGCCACAGTAGCCAGAGCAGGAAGCCGGCCTTGGCCAGCACACCTATTTTTCGAGAGCAGCGCCCCCTCATGATGGAGAGTCCCAGGGAGGCACTGTGACTGGCGGAGTGTCAGGGTGCCCTGCAGGACACAATCCTCTGGAGAACAGAAAAAAGACAGTGGGTTAGACAAAAATATGATTTTTTTTTATATCACATCTCACACACATGCAACAGAGAAGGAAACACAAGTGTAGGCCTTACAAGACAAACTAGACTGTCCTGCAAACCCACCAGTGCAGTTTCATTTTTTCCAGATCTATTTGAGGTTAACGTGACCTTTGACCACAGATATCTAATCCGTTCATCTTTGTGTCCAAGTGATCGTTTGTATCAAATCTGAAAGGATTCCCTGGAGCTGTTCATGAGATTTCCCCTTTACAAGAATATGTTTTCTGAGGGCAAGAGGCTCTTAAACTTTGACATTTGACCACCAAAATCGAATCAGTTCCACCTGGAGATCAACTGAACATTTGTACCAAATTTGAAGAAAATCCCTCAAAAGCTCAATTGAGATATTGTGTTCACAAGAAAGGGTCAGAATGGTTGGACAACCTGGAAACATGATGCCTCTGGCTGCTGGCTATTGCTGTAGATTCAACCAATCCAATCCAGTAACTATCACAAAAGGAACGCTACAAGCATGAACTCCTACAATCAGAACAAGGCTTCATCAACTAAACCTGATTCACATTTCAATGAGATTTTCCAACTCAACACTAGCTAGCACTAGAAATGGACCTTGTTTTTTCAAGTGCCCTGAGGACAGAGCTCGAGTTTGACCAGGCCAGCAATAATCAACACCGACACCGATAATCGCATGCAGGGCTGCATTAAGATCCTTATTACATTCAAAATGCATAGATGCAAGAGGCCAAATTATGGCTCTCAGTGCAGTAATGTGCTGAATAAATTGAGTCTGTGATTTCATGAGAAGAGCTGTGTTAACCCTTAACTTCATTACCACGCTGCTTTAGTCACATGGCTTCACAGCGATTCTTCAATGAGGAGCAGTTTCACCCAGACTGTGCTGCCAGGCTGTGGCACACTTTTAAATGTCATGGTCATGTCAGAGGCCTCAAGTCCTGCATACAACTGCCCCCCCCCCTTAGAAGTACTCGTTTTAGCTACAGCTAAAATACATAGTGGAACAATCGAACTTGATGTGGCATGTTCAAGCTTTCCAAACATATAATGCCAAAATGCATTTTTATTAATGCAGCACAATGGTTGTATAGCAAGCTCAGCTCTTGCACAGTTCCTCTACATTAAAGCCAACATGTAGTTAAAAAAACAGTAATGAGTCAGGTCTCAGGAAGCCTTTTGTTTGGATTCAGACTAGGAATCAGGCCCTTTTGAAGGCTTCCTTATTCTAGGATTTCTATTGTTTTCCACTGAACCAAAAATAGAGATTACCCAAAGACCATTGTGGAATATTTGCACAAGGACAGATCCCTTTTTGACTTAAAACAAGATTATCCAAGGTTTGTGGATACACATGGTAAGCAATTTAGTTATTCATGGATGACCGATCGACGTAGCGTGTCAGAATTTGAAAGAGGGCTGCAGTAAAAACAGAGCACTTTGCTTTATTGACACTGAAGTGAATGTAATCACATAATTGTGGCACATAAATATTAGAGCAGAGTGCCATTTACACTAGTTCCAGACAGGCCTAGCAGCAGCACTGACTCAGGCAGACACACACACAGACACATGCAGTCCTTCCACTTCCTCACATCAGAGCCCAATTATGGTTATTTCCCTCTTCTGCAAAAAAAAAAAAAAAGGTTAATTCTGGGAACACTTTGATTTTGCTGCTGAGAACACATAACAAAACAGAAATCAGCATGAGTGCATAAGCTTAGTCCATGTATGTGTAGTACTAAGTCAGAGGGAACCCAATTTCCACCGAAAGTCCTTCAAAATAGAGGCAGCAGCAGCAGCACAGCCCTTTCACTCCAGTCTGGGCTCTAGCCAGAAGACTGAAGGGAGTCCTGAGGTTACAAAATGGAGACGCCTGGAGACAAAAAACCCTTTTACTGGTTTAGCATCACACCTTCCACTGTCTCTGAATCTGATAGCCTTACTAGGAAGCCGTTTGGAACTAGCAGCAGGGGACAGGGAGGCCTGAGATGCAGCTTAAATCCTGTCTCACTTTTTTAACTGAGAGAAACAAACGAAATAACAAAAGAGGGCAAAGACGGCGAGGGGATAAGATTTGCTTTTGCGTCCCGAGCAGCAATCTGCTGTGCGTGCATCACCCCATCAGCCTGACATGATTAACGATGATGCTGGACGTCACTTGATCCTCAGCAATGAGGTGGCACAGGAGGAAAAACATTGCTCTCCATGGTTAGACTGGAATGAAGAGTACAACAATACATGGCTCATTTCCTCATCGGGCAGTCAAGAGAGGAGGACAAATAGCTGTAAGAGTGGAGCAGGTTACACAAGCTTCAAAGTAAAGTGAGGGTCCACCATTCTTTTCAGATTGTGAAAGACCTGGAGAGACACAATCACTGACATTCTTCTACAACACTAACAGCTCTATGACGATTAGAATTTGTTGGTCAGTTTGTTTTTGTCAGCAAGATTACACAAATTGAAAAATGAACTGATTACCCTTGAAATTTAGTGGAAGGATGCGGCAGGGGAAGAACCTATTTAATTTGGTTATCACTTATTCAATACAACATTACGAGATAGGACATATTTTAGCATTTTCAGTTTCATGTGAGAGGCAACTGGTTTCTAATGAAGTGAAACCACTGATGTATATGACATAACTCGGGTCCTGGGTTCTTCCTGAGTCAGTTAAAAAGTATAACTATCCATTACCAGAAATCTGACAATTCCGAGTGATTGTTAAAATGTTATGTTTCAGAAATGTACTGAGTTTGCCACTAGGATCAATATGAAGAATAATCATTCGAAAAAATAATTATTGCAATCTAATATGTGAAGACATGGTGAGGCGGTACAACCAAATATTGGCTTCAATGTTCTTTCTCAGATTTATAAAACTTTGTCATTCTCTGCTCTAAAAGAAAAGTTTAAGAGTTAAAAACTAAAGAGGAGTAATAATGTGACATTTATCCTGATAGATATATAAATATGGACTGAAATTCACCTTTTTATCTCGATATAACACTTGGCCTTATCGCCCAGTCCTAGGAGGAGCCAGGCCGTGTTGCCAGGCTTCATTTACAAGTTGGATAGAGACTTGAAATGAAAAAAAACCAAATGCTTCTCGTCTTCTTTGGCTTCACATGAAAACACAAGTAAAAATGGGTGTTTCCCACACAGCTCGTGAACAGTATGGGCCACTTGTTTGTACTATTCTGGGAATAACTTTAATATTTGTATTTATGTGGCGTTTCTTTTTCTTGCACTTTATTTACATTTGTTAAAAAGGCATCTCTTCTCTTTGGCCTTCTTTTCTAGTTGAGGGCATTACCATCCCAGTAGATTTGAATTTATTATCATTAGTACTATGATAGATGAGGTATTGCTGTTTTCTTACTTTGTAAAGAACTTTGGGTCAATCAAGTTGTTTTAAAAGTGCTACATGAATAAATTTGTCATTGACACTTTTTAACTTTTATCTCTGTTCATGTGACAAATAAAAATCCTTGAATCCATCTGCACGGCTCGTTTTGTCTCTGATGACATAAAACTTTTTTGGGGGGGGGGTGGTGTCCACACAACACACAGCAGCAGGTCTCCTCATCTGTCAAACTCCATCAGATCACAGTGAGTCCAGCGGAGACGGGGGGGACATCTTGAGCTGATCTCTCAATGAGCGTCGCTTTGAATCCTTTGAATCAACGCAACAAGTCTCGAACTTCACGCGAGCGGCTGCAGACTTCTTCCTCCATCATGAGCGGAAATAAGCGTCGCTGTCAAGCACCGGTTAACTGAAGAGTTGGAAACGCGGAGCGACTCCTCGACATTAAAGCGCGACGTAGTAACACGGCGAGGAGGCGACTAAAGCTCACATCTCTGTGAATGACATTAAAAATGGTGGCGTTAGCTTGTTCGTGTTAGCAAAAGACTTTACCTCCGGTAGAAGTTACATGTCTCGGCCTGTGTCTGAGGTCTCTGAGGCCGTTGCTCGTCAGCCTGGCTGCGGTTCGTCCTCCGCTTCAAACCTCTGGCTTGCAGATGTCAGCGTCCCCACATCCTCCTCCTGCTCCTCCTCCTCCTCCACGTTGGGCTCCGCATCAAGGGAACCAGGGGTAACTACACAGGGTCCGGTACAGCCTTTCATAATAAAAGACCGACCAAGAGTAAAAGGCGAAAGAGGAGAAATTGCAAACTTGACTTGCAGCAAGTAATTATGAGTTAATTCCTAACATGAAAAACATCTCGTTGAAAAATATGCATTAACATCAAACATCGGTGGAGCAAAATTACAAAATATTTTGCAATATTTATTATTGTTATTATTATGATAGTTTTTAAAGACTTTATCTATTTATTGGATTAATTTGACCCATTTATTTTTCCAATTCATGCATGCAGAACCTTTAACCTCTAACATTATTTTATGGCCAATATCACAACATTATTAAAACCCCTTTGTCATTTGCATTAGCTTACTAATGCTCTTTCTTAATTTAACTGACATATTGGTTATTATTATTCAATTTAAACTGTATTAATTGTATCCATTTATTTTTTTAAGATCAGGAAGGGAAAGGATTAAAAAAGGTAAACATAAAAGAAAGGAAAGAGAAAAGAAACTCAACTGCACTGTACTTCCGTTTGTGAGTGATCCTCTGCAGGGAGCTTGACTCTCCTCTGGCCTGTGAGCTGTAGTTTGTTCCTCCTGCGCTCTGCCCCCGGCTGTAATATGGTAATTGACCCTGTAGCTGGTTTAAACGCTTTATTCCATCAGTGTGTTCTTACAGACGAACATTAACTTGACCTCTAAAGTGTTGAAGTGAAACATGAAAACTGACAGAGGTGAGATTCTGATGAATTTAAAGTGAATGAACAACAGAAATATTCCGGATATCCACAGCTTGAATAAGAAGAGGAGACTGTGAGGGTCTGTGGTCTGGTTTCATTAAGATAATGTGTTATAATCATAATCATGAACTTATCTGAACTTCATACTTTTATTTTTTAAAGTCCACAGCTACTAAAACACTGTTAGAGCTGACAACATGAACTGAGTGACCTTTGGTCTGTAGTTATTCACTGACACTGTGTCCGCCCTGTAGAGACACGTGGACTGCCAACATACAACATTTTCCATAATTCATCTATTGTTCTCACACGACCTGATAACGGGATAACTACAGTGTGTAATTCTAACGATTGTGCCCACAGTTGACTCATTTTTGCAGAATAGGGATTCCTTTCATGGGACAGCTGCGGACCAGGAGATAGAGCGGGTCGTCCATTACACCACAAGGTCAAAGGTTTGATCCCAGTCTCCTCCATTCCAGAAATTGAACCCCAAATCACCCCTGAAGGCTGTGCCAGCAGTGTGAGTGAGATGTGTGATGGAGAAAGTGCTGCACGTAGATGCACTGTATGAATGAGTTGATGTGTGGATGGTAAATCTGTACTGTAAAGTGCTTTAAGTGGTCATCAAATCTAGAAGAGTGCATTGAGATCAAAATCTTTAAATGATTAAGGATTTAAAATGATTTGATTTATCTGACAAATGAAGCATGAGACATTTCTGATTTCTTTTTTAAGATTACAGTTTTTGTTTAATGAGGCATGGGTGGATGAGTTTCAGATTTTTAAGTCTTTCAGAATAAAAGATTTATTGAAGACTGTTTTTTTGTTTATTTCTCAATATTTTTATTGAAAATTTGGCACAAGGGATACATATAAAAGATATTTAACAGTGAGAATCATCGTTAAGGCCTCTAGGAACAATGATGGAGTGTGTTTATGGCTTTACTTGAGCTCAGGTTAGATTTGACAGAATTGAAAGTCACAAAGTGTCTTGATGTTCACAAGGATGATGAAAGGATCTATTCGCCTGCTGCATGAATAGACAATGTGGCACATACACACACACGCGGACATGTGTTCCCTTCCCTCTGTGTGCTTGACATTATAGGATAGGTTTGTTATCTCAGAGTCTCCAGGTCCTGCTCAGGCCGGACCTCGCTGGCCCCAGAGTGTGCATTGCGTTCATGTGGCCTGTTGTTAGGCTGGCACCTGCACCACTTGGTAACTGGCCAACATCTTTTATCCCGTCCCTCTCTCTCTCTCTCTCTCTCTCTCTCTCTCTCTCTCTCTCTCCCTCTCTCTCCCCTTCTCCTTTTCTTCTCTCCAGTTGAAACCAATTGACACCTCTCTCTGTGAGGCTGATGTGCTTTCATCCGGAACTGAAGAGGGTCCCGTTTCCATGATAAGGATCTGGGGGCTTTCACGGCTACAAGGAGGTCTTTGCGTTTGAACCTTTTCCTGATTCAAAATAATTTATTGGTTTTCAAATGTAACATCCCTCTCACATTAGTGTCAAAACCCTTTTTTTAAGAATTCAGAACAGTTTTATTTTTCCCATCATGAAGGAAGAGCAGATTTGCTTGTGCATTAAAAGCAGTTTTTCTAACCAACATGTGGGTTTGTGTTAGAGCCAAAGTGTAACCCAAGATTTTTTCTTACCAAGTGGTTCCAAAATAGAAGGTTGCCTTATTCTTAATTTGTTTTATTTACATCCAGAGCAGTTCCAGTGCCTTTAATTCTTTAAAATGGGTCTGTAGAGGCGTTTTATTTCACTGCAATAATCTTCACTCTGACTCAGCTCAGCGGCTGCAGAGCTTATGGTTGAGATCGCTCTCATTTGACAGATTTGAAGAACATGAGTCGAGCGAGTGTTTGACCTGGTGCCACATAGGCAGCAAGATCAGATGAAGCAGTTCAAGCAAAGAGCACCATCTAGTGACTGCATATAAAACGCCCTGTTTAATTACTCTTTACATAGATGTAATGGCTCACCACTTTAATGGAAATAACAATTAATCCTAAGCCAGCTAGACCTGAACTAATACAAAGGGATAGAAAGGCTCAAATAATGGCTTGTATTTACTTAGTGCTTTTCCAGTCTTATCGACCACTCTAAGCTTTACAGTGCAAGTTGCATTCACCCACTCACACATACTTTTATACTTTTTTCTATTATACACTGCTGGCACTGATAAAAGGGGCAACTTGGAATTCAGTATCTTGCTCAAGGACACTTAGGACACTTCCTCTGTCAACCAGGGATCAAACCACTGACCTTGTTAGTGGACGACCCACAGTTTCCCCAATAGCTTGGTGGTTCAGTCCCTTCTTTCTGCCCTGGTTCCTCGCCTATAAGCTTACTCATCCACACACAAGAGGAAAAAATGAAATGCCTGTGTGATCCATGTTTCTGTTTCCTACGAATGCCACTTAAACTGATCAAGTCGTTTAACCTCTACAATCAGATGCGCAGAGCTGACACACACGCTGAGTTCGTCAACAGGCGAATAAACTTCTACCTTCACAGCAGCAATGTGATGTGAGGAATGCGTCTTTGTCTTTTACTTATCTACAACTCTATTCAATTACAGCTCTATTTACATCTGAACCGACTTAACCGCCGGGCCGATGATTTCATTAGCCGAGTGTCCTTTGTGCTTGATGTTCATTTAGCCTGTTCGTGCAATAAATCACGGTGAATGGAGGTCACACTGTGGGACCGGGCTCCTTTAATTTAATGGAGATAGATTCTGGCCCACACTCTCCCGTAGCTTATTACCTCCCCATAGAGTGGAATACACAGTGACCTTCAGCTAGAAGGACCAAACGTGGGTATCAATTAGTGATTCTCATACTGAAGGTTAGGCCTCCGCATTTCAACCTTGGTCACAATATGAGTGAATGAGCTGTAACATGGACATCATTACATTATTACTTAGAGCAGTCAGCTGTAACTCACTGGACCGTGTGTGTGTGCCCAAACTAATGGCTGAGAGCATCTGTCAGAGATGCATTATTATGCTTCGAGAGCTGGTTAATATTTTACGTTTTATCCCTCGGAGAGGTTGGCAAGTCCACAGTCTGTTTTGGGAAGTTGGTGTAGACATGGGTGGTTCAGATGGAGACCGTGACAAAGAAAAACAACCATCCACTGTGCTTGGAATCTGAATGACTCCTGCTGTGTATTTGTGTGGGAGATGTCTCAGTCAGCTTGTGGTGCTTTATGTGATTGTTTTTTGCAATAAAGGTCACTTGAGGCAAAAAGTATTTATTTAAAAAAATATATTTCTTTTAGTGACTAAGTAATCATCACAATTAAAGTTAATAAAATAACATTATATGGTAACACTGGTGGTAACTCAGTGAAGTGTCCCATATACGGAGGCTTGAGTCCTCCTGCTGTGGCCGCAGGTTCGGTTCTGACCTGGACCTTTGCTGCACTTATTCCCCACTCGGTCTCCACATTTCATTTCATTTCAAATTGCCCCAAAAATATAACTCAAAAACTGCCATATGATGCAGATTCCATCCATCTATTATTTATATCCCTATTGGATATAAATTGCTATAGAGCTGGAGCCAATCCCAGCCGGCCTTTGGGCAAGAGGCGAGGAGCACCCTGGACAGCATATCGCAGGATTGGGCTGATGCTGATTTCAATTTTCAGACATTAAAATTGGACAAAAATATATAACATTACATTTTCAAATGGAGCCCTGTCCACCTTGTACCTCTGAGAAGAGCTCAGACAAAATCAGATGAGATAACTTTACTAAACATTTTGTGTTCACGTCGCTCATAGTAGGAAGCTGACGAAATGACGTATGAAGATATGAAAGTTTGATTTTAGCTTTATGTTATGAATTGCGTTCTCCCTGCATGCTAATTATCTATGGGAAAAAAGTCTGACCATTGATGATAAGGTTCTCTTGAGTGTCTGTCAACCAAGGCGTGCTCGTGTTCTTGTTTGCATGACTGCAGTAAGGCTTCAGAACAAAGTAGCGTCCTCTTTTTTATATGCAGCTGAAGTAGACTTGAAGCAAAGTGGTGAAGTTTGGGGGTGGGAGCGGAGGGGCGGGTGTTGTCGATGTGCCAATCAGCCCACTCAGCAGTCGGTCCTCACCAGCCTGGGGGCCCATTGGGAGTGTCTAAAACAGACACACCCACATGCACTTACATGTGCACACACATACACATACACCGAACCACCTCCTCAATTATCTCT